GTAATTTGTACGTCAAACAGATTTATTACAAGTTGTCTGATGCATTATTGTCCGTTCAAAAATTTGTGACTAATAATAACAAGGAAGAATCCAGAAAAATATAAGTGAATATAATTATTTTGATTGATCGATCTATGGCCGGTGACATCAATATATTTTTGTATTAAAAAAGAATATCCAAAAAAAAATTGTGACTAATAATAACAAGGAAGAATCCAGAAAAATACAAGTGAATATAATTATTTTAACCGATCGATCAATGTGTAACCGTATGGCCGGAGACACACTGACATCAATATATTTTTGTATTCAAATAAAAATATCTAAAAAAATTGTATAGTAAAAATACAATTTTAAGAACCACAGAAATTGAATTGAACCGACACAACCACACCTATTATATACCCCTTTCGTTTCAATTTATTTGTCTTATTTAATTTGATACATAGTTTTAAAAAGTAAGTAATGAAATAAAATGAAAAATAAGACAAACAAATTGAAACGAGAAAGTAATAAAACTCTTCTCACAAGTAGATTAGCGTTGGTGGTTTCTGTTATCGTTACTTGTCTTGCTTAAATTTCAATGTTGATGCTAACTTTTAAAATTACACATTTGTTCGCTCGACCAAAAATATTTATATACGGAGAAAAATATTGTAGTTTACTAATTTTTTTGTGAAGCAAATATTTATGTCAATTTTCCCTATTTTTTTAAAACTAATTAACTAGACTTAGCAGCCCAATGATGCTAACTTTTAAAATTACACATTTATTCACTCGATCAATATTTTTTTATATACATTAGTCAAAAAGTTGTTATCGACTATTTTTATGTCGGAGCGGCTATTTATGTCAATTTCCCAATAAGAAACTAATCAACTAGACTAGCAGCCAAATTGGGCTAGAGGTTGAGAGCTGAAAGAATCATGTGGGCCTAAGTAAAATGGGCCAAGGCCCAGTACGGCAACAAATGATTCAAATGAGCCACCTTAGTGTTTCCTCGAGGCTAATTAGGAAGATAAATTTGAAGACAAACTAAACTCTAAATTGCAAAATGAATAGTCAATTTCCTCCCTGTCCTTGAAATTTTAAGGGAAAAATACCCAAAATTGCCCCCTCCCATAATAATTCCCGGAATGTCTACCCCCACCGTCTCAGTTTATATGAGTTAGTTTGATTTGACACGGAATTTAATAAAGAAAGAAAAACTTTTGAAATTTGTGGTCTAAAATGAGTGATAGATATTTGTGGGGCTAGAAATCATTCCATTAAGGGTAAAATAGATATTTTAAAGTTGAATTATTACTAAATAGAGAAATGTGTGATTCTTTATGGACTGACTAAAAAGAAAAATAAGTTGTATACATTGAGACAGATGGAGTAATATTTTGGAGTAATGATAAACTTATCAAAAAGAAAAACTCAGGTTCTACCTATGATTTATTTATTTGATATGGTGATGACATGAATCAAGTATAAATAGAAAAGACAGAATTCATATAACCGATCTTAAATTGTTTGAGTTTGAGGCGTAATTGTTTAGAAACAAGAATATTCTTGCACCTTGCTCAAATTAAGCAGTGCTTATGAAGCAATGATATGAGAAAAAAGTAGACATTAGGTGATAGCAATTAGTAGGAAATAAAGAAGGATAAAGAGAAGAAAAATCCTATGTTGTTGTAATTGAATTGCAATGCATCTGCTAAAAGAGTTGATCTTCTGTATTCAGTTCTTCTAGATTCATATGCAGTTTGGAGCCAAATGACTCAAGAAATGAAAACAGTTTCTTATGTGAAGGATAATAGAACTCCTAGTAAAGGATCACAAGTACTGAGAAATTGGTAGGGTCATTCAAAACACCAGGATGCTCAAAGAAGGTCATGGACTAAGGACTTCTTGAGGTAACTGTTCAACTTGGCCTTCGAATCTGCAAAACGCTGCATGATTTTTTCATTTTTGTAATGAGCAATCCCAAGCTCAACCTCTTTTTTGTGGATTCTTTCTTGCAAAGTGGCCAACTCTTCCTTCAATCCTTCCAGTTCTTTCTTGTTCGTCTCCATCGCTACAAGGTTCCTGGTTTTTGCCTCATTTAATATGCAACTGTCCTGGACAAGTTGCTTGGCCTGAGAGATATCATTCAGTCTTCGATGGAGCCACCCAACGTCTACTTTGACAGACTCAAGATCTTTAACTTCAGCAAGCATAGATTGGAGCTCTGTGGAAGTTATGCTTAGGAAATCTGTTGCCTCCAATTTGTTATATATGTCACAAACAAACTCCAGAAGTGATGAAGAAAAAGTCACTGAAGAGAAAGAGCTTTTCATTGCAATATCTCCGTACTTAAGGAAGATTTTCTGGAGGATAGGTGCTGCTTCCTCCTTAACTCTATACCCATCCACCATGACTGGTTTTGATTCAACCTTATCAGCATAAGAAGAATAGTCAGTCACCAGTGCAGCTACCCTTGTGAAGTTGAGACTCATGGATTTTGTAGGAAGGGGGTCACTTCTGGTTTCCGGTTTTGTTGCATTAGCATTTGACACCACATCAGTCTTCCTTAGTGTTGTGTTCTTCTCATCCACAACTTCAGGAAAAGAAGGAGCTGTTTGAGTGTGTTGCCCCGGTTTCTGATCTTCCACATCTAAGACGCCACGGTTAGTTAGAACAGACTGATGTTTATGCCCTGCATGTGCGGACTCAACCACCCTCCCTTTTGTTGGAAGTGCACCACTCTGGTCACATTTGGTTTCCTGTTCTGTGGCATTAGCATTTAACATCACATCAGCCTTGCTTACTATTGTATTTTTCTCATCCACAACTTCAGTGAAAGAAGGTGTTGTTTGAGTGTGTTGCTTTGATTTCCGATTTTCCACATCCATGACACCATGGCTAGTTAGAACAGAGTGATGGTTAAGTTGTGTGCGCGTGGAGCCATCAACCTTTTCTTTTGTTGCTACAGAAATTCCAGTGGTAAGATGAGCAGGAGAGTCACAAATAGCACATGAAGGATACGACGACTGTAGAATAAGAAAGAAGCTGTTAATAAACTAAAAGTTCACATTGTAAGTCATTCTAACTTCATTAAAAAAGACTATTTTCTTGAATTTGTGTCCGAGCAACATAGGACAAAGCCGAAACTATTTTCTTGAATCTGTCCTTGGTTAGTAGTGTGTACTCTTGTGTGGACTTCATAGACTCTCTTACTTGAAGAGTAATTCTATATATTTTGGCTGTACATATTGATATGAACCTGCCTATCCATATGCCATCACAGATTTAGCACCATCTTGGTGGTACTATTAATGAAAGTCCACTCTTAATTATCAAGAGAGTTTGAAAAAAAATTCAATAGAGTACCTTAACATGTCGAATTGGAGACGTTGGTGTTACAGTATTAGACTCACACCGACCAAGTAATGCCCTTAAAGACATTCGAGTTTGATACCTGGGATAGGAAGGTGAAGTATCTGGTGGCGCAAAACCCTGTCAAAACAAATAGGAATAGGCAGCTAGTTGATGCAAGTCTATTTGTCTATGTAGGGGCTTAGGAAAACCAAATAAACCGACAAAGCCTTTCAACATGTCATGTAATCCAAGTGCTAGAATAATACTTTGATGAACAGCAAGCAATATAGCTCTAAAAGTCCAAACATATATGTGTAGGCTTATGTACAGTACAAAATAGTTCGCAGCAAACATGCTAACAACAAACGAAATAAGACCACTTCATTACAGACAATGGCTTCTAATGATTAATCTTAAAACACCATTACCTGCCTATAGGAAAGAGCATATCCCTTCAAGAACACATAACTATTTTATTTATTTATTGACAGAACATGAAGTTGCTTTGTCCTAATCCTCTCAAATCTTTATCTCTTCTCAACTATCAAAGCAGAGTGAATATATAACCTGTGCAACCAGCTAATCATGCTTAAGTATTTATGTGATAACCCACTAGCCAAACAACATGTCTCATATTCATTCTATAAATCTTGTAGTTCAGAATTTTTTTAAACAGAAGTCATTTGCATTAGCCCTACCACAAATCATCAAAATATACTTTCCTCTTCAGCACCTCTAAACATAGGCTCACACATTTAAGATAATACAACATGCAATACAACCTTAACACAGCAAAAAAAAAAAAAAAACACCAAGTGAGTGCAGTAAGCCCTTTGTTTTATTTTACTCTGAACAAAACAGAAAAAGAGAGGACATGATCACCAAAATGTAGAGCTGAAGTGTTTACCGGAGGCGGCGATAGAGCTGAACCATCGTCTAGTTTGGGTTCTTGTTTCATCCTCAACACTCTTCCACTCCTTAGAGAAGCTACTGCTTCTTGCTGTTGAGATTCTTGAGAAGGGGTGGCACCTTCAACACTTGTATTCTTTTGGGCTTCATCTTTTCTTGTTCTCCCTCTCTTCCCCATTTTCTCTCTTCAACACTGTTTTCTTCAAAGATGAAATCTTTTTTTTCTCTCTCTGTGTCACTCAACAAGAAGCTTCTGAGCTAGGAAAAATGATATTGCAGAGTACCCTGCCACTGAAAGAGAGTTTGTTAATTCTGCAGCCAAGAAAGATGTTACACGTGTCTATTGCTTGTAATCAGGACATGTGTCACTAATTTAATGTTTGTATTTGATAAAACGTTTGTTAAGGATGTGAAATTAAATGAAATGTTATAGCCATGCTCAAAATGTTTGTTTATATGGCTAATCAACTTTAAGCTCCTTATTATGAAATTTGCATGCAGTATTAATAAGTGTGACATATGAGAAATATAAACTACTATTAAGGGGGAGAATGATGGTGAATCTTGGTTTATGGGAGACACACAAGTTGTTATAGAAATAATTAAAGAAATGTGGAAAAAGAAAACGAGTTATAATTCAAAGGTTGATAACATTTGTTGATTATTTTGAGTAATCCTCCACAATTAGATGATTAGCAGGAAATAAAGAAGGATAAGGAGAAAAGAACTCAAGTAATTAACATTAGTTCTCTTAATTGAATTGCAATGAAAATGCTAATAAAGTTTCTACATCTCTGCTCATTCCATTCCGCAATAGCAAATAAAACTAGTCTATCTGATTCTGTTTCAGTTCTTCTGCAACTCATATGCAGTTAGGGGTCAATGACTCAATGGTTGAACATAACAATTTGTATATTATGGGATAACAGAACTAGTTAGGGATTAAAAATTAGTGAAAAAGATCATTCATATGGTCCTATCCAGGACAGAACAACTACAAACACCAGGCTGCTCAGAGAAGGTCATGGACCAAGGACTTCTTCAGGAAACTGTTCACCTTGGACTTCAAAGCTGCAAAGTTCTGCGTGATTTTTTCGTTCTGAGAACGTGCAATGCCAAACTCATCCTCTTTATTGTGGATTCTTTGTTGCAAAACGCGGCATGTTGCAATGCAAGCAGCCAACTCTTCCTTCAATTCTTCCAGTTCTTTCTTGTTTGTCTCCATCACTACAAGGTTCCTGGTTTTTGCCTCTTTCAGTTTGAAGCTGTCCTGTAGAAGTTGCTTGGCCTGAGAGATATCATTTAACCTTCGACTGAGCCACCCAACATCTATTTTGGCAGCCTCAAGATCTCTAGCTTCAGCAAGCATGGACTGAATCTCCTTGGAAGTTATACTTAAGAAATCTGTTTCCTCCAATTTCTTACAGATGTCGCAAACAAACTCCAAGAGTGATGAAGAGAAATTCACAGAAGAGAAAGAGCTATTCATTGCAATATCTCCATATTTAAGGAAGATCTTCTGGAGGACAGGTGCTGCTTCCTCCTTAACTCTATACTTATCCATCATGACTGACATGTGACCAGGTCTTGATTCAACCTCATCAGCATCAGAAGGATAATCATTCATTAGTGCAGCTATCCTTGTGAGATTAAGACTCATGGATTTTGTCGGAAGCACACCACTCTGGTTACTTCTGGTTTCCGCTTCTGTGGCTTTAGCATTTAACACCACATCAGCCTTACTAACTGTTGCATTGTTCTTAACTACAACTTCAGGCAAAGGTGGTGTTTGAGCGTGTTGCCCTTGTTTCTGATTTTCCACACCCAAGACACCACAGTTAGTTAGAATAGATTGATGTTCAAGTTCTGCGGGCACAAAGTCATCAAGCGTTTCTTTTATTGCTTTAGAAATTCCAGTAGTAAGATGAGCAGGTAAGTCAGAAGTAGCACATGAAGGATATGACGCCTGTAGAATAAGAAACGAAGTTTAGACTGTTAATAAATGAAAAGTGTACATCATAAGCCATTCCAACTTCATTAAAAGGGACTGCAGAAAATGTTAAAACAATCTAAAGATTAAAGATAAACACTCTTTCTTAATTTTAGGAATCTCTGTGCATTGCGACATTGTTGCTGGTTGAAGTGCTGGAGACCAATTTTAACGCCATTTGACAAAAACGATGTAAGTTAATAGTCTCTGATTGATGGATGATTTTGGCTAATCTTACCTTCTTGTTTCTTAGAGTGATGAGTCAACTAATGTCCAAGTATGTTCTTGTTTTATCTTTTTCTTACTATGATACATATATCCCTTTCTTTATTCAAGAAATCTCTGTGCAATATTCTTAATGAGCAACATAATTTATGTTTTATGTGCATGCATCTCGAAAGTTACTCTGTCAACATATACATTTATGCTTGGCAGGTCTTCAGTTGCATTTGTTCCAAGTTAGTTTTGGGGACTGTAAAATGTAAATTTACTCCCTTCCTTTTACAGCATTAGTGCAAGGGAATAGTGGTTGTCACTGAAGTAACTGGCTTATGCCAACATTAAAGATAAATACGCATCACGAACCTTAATTTACAGTCGTGCCAAAGTTATATACTCCAGCTTTGGCATGTCAGAAACTGAACTATATTTCTCTATCTTCCATAATAATTTCAGAAGGAATATGTTTGACTAGGAAACTGACGAGTGGTACAGTTACTGTGCAGTTTAACAAAGCTAATAATGGATGAAAATAACAATGATTGCTGCAGAAGGGTCCCAAGCAATGATAACATCTTTTCAGTTAAAACATGTTATTACTCTCTATTCAGATTAATAGAGGAAGAACAAATCTCAATGGAAGATGATCTGGAGAGGGTAAAACGGAGTTAAGAAAAACTCTTGTTTATTAACAATGAACAATAATGACAGTATCCAAAGCACCTTTCGGGGCAGCATGCTTCAATGGATAGCCCCTCATAAGGCTTTTCTTACTCATGATAATATGCAGAAGAAAGCAATGAAGCTGCCATATGTAATTATGTTTGGGAAATATGATTTCTATTCCTAAGCATATCAGGAGTGAAATGGACTATGCCAGTATCAGTTAAAGCAGTTTCAGTTAGCTGGCAAGGATGGAAAGTTGAAAAAGGAGGAAAGGAACCGGGAGATCATTCCAACTAGTATTTTTTTTGGATAATCTGGACGGTGATACACAAGTGTACACACCACAAATATTTTATGTTTTATGTTTAGTTGTTTACAGATATTGAATCTTTGGTTCAATATTTCCTTGGATAATGGTGTGTACACCTGTGTATCACCTCTCTATGTTGAGAAGTGTTCTGTAAATTATTGACTGTACATATTTTGCACCTTCTTGGTGCTACTATTAATGAAATTTCACTCTTTCATCAATGGAGTTTGAAAAGAGATTCATTGGAGTACCTTAACATGTCGAATTGGAGACCTTGGTGTTGTAGTAATAGACTCACACCGACCAAGGATTGCCCTCAAAGACTTGCGAGTTTGATACCTGGGATGGGAAGGTGAAGCATCCGATGGTGCAAAACCCTGTCAAAACAAAAAGGAATATGCAGCTAGCTGAAGCAAAATTTATTTGTCTAGATAATAGCTTAGGAAAACCAAATAAGCAGCTTTGTAGTAAGCAAAATTGACCTGAACAAACAGAACATGTAGGCTTCTGTACACTACAGAATAGTTCAGAGAATCATGCTAACAAAAACGAAATAAGATCACAAATATCTTTTGCATTACAGAAAATGACTTCCAATGATTAGTCTTACAACATCATTACCTGCCTATAAGAAAGAGCATATCCCCTTCAAGAACACACAACTATATTCAGGTTGCTTTTTCCTGTTCCTCTCAAATTCCTCCCCCACCCCACCCTTCTCAACTATCAAGCAGTGAATATTTTACCTTGTGCAATCAAAATATCATGCTTATTTGAGCATTTATGTAATGACCCACAGGCGCCAAAACTCACCTGAAACCTTTATCCCGTAACAAACAACATGTCTTATATCCATTCTCTAACTTCCGCAGTTCAGAATTTTTTTGAACAGGTCTTGCGATTTTAGCCCTATCACTCTACTACAAAGCATATATCTTGAACACATTTAAGATAAAAGTAAGTAACATGCAATACAACCTTAACACAGCAAAATAAGAAAAAATGATTGTTAAGAAAACGAGAAGAAAGAAAACAAGCGAGTGAAGCAAAAAGAAAAAAAGAAACGATCTTCAAGTTTATAGGGTTTAGAGATAACAAGCCCCTTCTTTTTCATTTTTTCTCCGAACCAACAACAAAAAAAATATGATCACAAAAATGCAGAGGAGTAGAGTTTACTGGAGGTGACAATAGAAGAGCTTGTTGGGGTTCTTGTTTCATCCTCAACACTCTTCCACTCCTTCCAGAAGCCACTGCTTCTTGCTGTTGAGATTCTTGAAAAGGGGTGGCTCCTTCAACACTTGAACCTTTTTGTGCTTCATCATTTCTTGGTCTCCTTCTCTTCCCCATTTTCTCTTCAAAGTTGAAATCTTTCTCTCTCTCTCACACACACGCAACAAGCAGCAACTGAGCTTGCTAAAAACGGATTCTGCAGGGTACTCACCTCTGCAAGAGCATTCTGCAGCCAAGAAAATTGTTACACGTGTCACTGTCCTTTCAATGTTATTGATTTTGCCTTCCACTTTTATTCTCATAATTGCATGCCACAGTTTTCAAAAATATTTGTCATTATGATATGGTCTTTAATACTTTACCAAAATGTTGTAGAGATATTGAGAAATTTGTTTATATCAGTGGTCTATCGTATGAATTTGCATGTCACAGGGTTTTTCTGAGAACATATTCAAATGAATAACGAAAGTGTATTGAACCCCACAGACTTCACTTTTAAGACTATACCGAAAATATTGTTGTTATCAAATAGACAACCAACTATTTTGACCAAAAGCTAATCTATCGAAACTAAACTTATATAGCAATATCTCTATCTCCAGTTTAAAAGTATTTAAATAACATCTTTTTTTTTTCATTTACAAAAGGAAATAAGATGCACAAAACTAACAAAAAAAGAATTTATTTCAAAGTGTCTTGCAGTCGACCTCCTACCTCAGATATGCTACAGCTTATCTTGCCCTTCTATTCAGAGTTTCAGACAGTAAAAAAGTTCTCAAGATAAACAAACAATCACACACACAATCTCCAAATGATTATTTGTCAGTTAAGCTTTCTTAAAGAAAAGATCACATATCCACCTCGACCAACGTTCTAATTTTCAGTCTAACCATCACTCAATTCTCAAGTATGGGAAAAAACAGTTTTAAGGGGGGGGCGGGGGGAAATTTAGTAAATTTCTAGAACTGAATAATAAATATCATCCTTTATCATAAGAAACGCATCACTGCAGCCGTATGAGTTTATCATTTTCTCTGAATACTATGGCAAAATTTCTTTCACATAAAACAGAATTTGTACATTAAGAAAAATGGAGAACTAAATGAAAAAAATACAACATGCACTTTAAGTCATCCTTTTTCTATGCTGACGGAATGAAGGATCCGACTACTTAAAAAAATTTCCAAGAGCTCAAACTTCAAATCTGAAAGTTGTTGAAAATGCTTCGCACCAAGCCACAAACTCTTTCCTGGTATTTGACCTGACCCTTGGCAAGACAAGCGTGTACTACTATCTTCATGTCAATGATAATCAGATCAAATCAGGTGTGGAGAACCAGTCCAGAAGCAATAAGAACCCTCGTAGAGCTGAAAATTTCCTTTAGAACCATCCTAATGTTGTCAAGTGTATACTCTAGATGCTCGATATAGTTTCACTTAGCTTCTCCAGCACTCTTCCAGAGAGATTACACTTCAGCTCGAAGTGTACAATTAAATTTGTAGATCCTTAAGCGCATTTAGTTTCTCTAATCTCCCATTTGATGAAAGAGAAGAATTTTCACCAGCATTTAGGCCTACAGCTCCATTTGCAGGAGATTTCTGTATCTGATTGTTAGCTGAGCTTTGAATACCTCCAAAGTAAGTCGAGTACACAAAGTACTCAGCACAACGAACTTTCCATCCTACAACAATGTCTCAAAAACATCACTACCCATAGAATCACCAAATATCATGTAAGTAGGTTGTCACTGATGTATTTGACAGAAAAGGATCATCTCATACATAATATAGACAAAATAATATATCCACCAGCCACCCAAATCAACAGAAAAGGAATGGATGCATGAAAAAAACGAACAGGCTACAATAGCAATATACCAGAACCAGAGTCAAACATATGCATGCAGTTAACTTCAACTCAACTTCAGGCCAAGGGAAGACTTAAGATGTACAATATGAAAAGACAGAAGGATGTGTGCAATGGTAAAGAACTTACTGGATGCAGCATCATGGTCAACCAGAGTTGTCTCGAGGAGTTTGTGAACTATAATGCAGTCGTTCAATTTCCATGACCTGACAGTTCCTTGTCCTCCGTCCCTAATTTGGAGAAAAGTAAAAACAGAGGTGATTTATTACTATTTTGCAAATATAACGAAATATTATCAGCTATGTAATGAGAATACAAATTAATGTGATGAAAACAGGGTCTTACATAGAAACAAGATCATTAACAGAGTCCTCAATTAATTTGACAGCCTCAGCCTTCTTGTTTGGTTCCAGAACATGTAGCAACTCAGCCACAGCAGCCCTATGCATCAATGATTCTGCAAACACCACACAATGAGAAATCATGTTTTCTTCAAGAATGAGAGGAGTAACGATGCAAAATAAACTAATAAAAGTATGTTACTGTTAGACACTGACCTTTATGTTTCTCAAGAAAAGTGTTGTTTGCCTCAATGAGAGATTTACCATGCAACTGGCTGGAAAGGTCAATTAGAAACATACAGAAACCTTAGTATAATTACAATCAATAACATCATACAATAATAAGATCCACAATCCCAACTAGTTGGAGTTTTTGTGAATTCCCAAATCAATGGAAGTACTATGACTGGTAGAGTATCAACACTGATAGCATTTAAACATGAGATATATAGAGAAAAGAGAAGTGCATTCAAGATGACCTAAAGGCAGGTCGCTCTGCTTCCAAGACACCCCAGATGAGCTTTTCAGTATCAGTTACTGGAGTAGGCAAGGAGTCAACTTTATGGAAGAACTTCATCTGCAAGAGATCATAGTCCATATGAGAGAGAAGCAAATATGAATACCTCGAGAAATAGAGCATGACGTGTTTATAAAACAATAATATCACTGGAAGTATTGATGCCGTAAAAGCATACCAAGCACAGATGTGATTTTGGATCATCTGCATCCAACCGCATTAAATGCTTTATTGCCTGGAAAAAGACAAAGATCAAAGTGATTGTTTGTCAATATTCCTAAAACAACTACTACTATGACTACATCTCAATCTCAAAATAGATGCAGGTCAACCAAACGAAGCCTCAATAACCATTCTGTTACATCTAGAGGCCCGCCGTTTGATTCTAACAAAAAAATTCGTGAAATAAGGAAATACTATTAAACATCATAATTATCCTGGCACTGGCATAAGATCCCTATCCAAACTAAAAAAAGCCCATATCAAACACCAGACCTGGAACAAAAGTACCAACTGACTACCCTTAGTCCTTGGTATCTCCTATAAAATCAATTTGCTTCCATGCTTTCATAATGTTCTATGTAAGTCTTTTGAGAAAACTATCCTCCATACGATTAGAAGTCAACCTCATCCTTTTTAACATCTTCGATGGCAGTGCTTTTGAGGATCTAAGTAAAACATGAGCCCAACTATTTTTAGGTGACATTCTCTCTTCTTTTTTTCATACGAGTACCACAGCAGAAAATGAAGATTAGAATTCCTGAATCCAGATACAACTAGCAATGGGGAACTAAACAAAGGGGGAAAGACAAGGAAGCATGGTAATCTCAAGCAGCTAACTATATGCATGGCCACTACTATGCCACAAAGATATACCAATATAAATATAACTGAAATCAACTGAATTATAAAGGATATTACCTGCAAGGCAAGCAAGATCTTCTGCTTCCTCATGTTTACGTCAAAGGACAGCAAATGTGTCTCCAAGAAATCTGGTGAGTGCTTAAGGAGAAGCTTGAGGTACTTTGAAGCTTCTGCCAGAGGATCTTCAGTCTGAAAGGTTTAGTGACAAGATAGTACTCTTATCAAAATCAGAAAATACCAACTGGTAGAAATTATTAAAACACTGTTCTTCCCATTTTACTGGAGATGTTTGGATTTTCATCAAGCATTCCAAGTGTTTGACACGATATCCAAAGTAACAGATGTTTGATCACTCAAAAAAAATATTGAAAAGGTAACAGTATATTAAAACATCAGCACAAATGAAGTGCTGGAATCCATATTAACAGATTACAAAAAGCAAAATATCACCTGTTCAGCTCACAGGGATTCTATGATTGATGCTACTTCATCTACATTTTTTTTTCTTTACACCAAAAATGACATTACAAAATACAATTCATCTTAATCTTCTGTACTGAGCTACTTTTATCTTCAAAACATCTTTGCATGGATACTTTACAAATTTAAATCCAAAGTGCAACAACATACCCATCATCATTAACTCCATTAGAAGATAATGGAATAGTCGTCATCAAAATAAAATAAAAAATCTAACAGTTACTCCTGACTACTCTAAATTCATACTAGAAATTGTGCAAAGAATGCATTATCAAAAAAAATTGTGCAATGAATGGATGGATACTTTATACCTAAAAGATGTGACAGATGGCAGAAAAGGGAATACCTGAATCAATTTTTCACCATGTGGATCAGGATCTACAGGCTTCACATGGCGCTTTCCAGATTTAGTAGCACTAGTTGCATTGGATTCCTCAATTTTGACTTCTGCATCCTAAACACAATTCAAAAGATTAAGGCACCTATACTAAAATGAAATTTTCAAAGAACAAGAAGAAGCAAATTTGAGTACTTTCTTAGCTCGTGCTTCTGCCTTCCTCAGTTTTTGCTTTAATTTCTTTTTCTGAGAAGGAGGCAACTTGGACATTGCATCATCCTCTTCAGATGCTGACTTCAAAGGAGAATCGTACAGCTTCAGATAGCATCTAATGTAGAGGCAAAACAAAGCATAAAAACATAAAAAGTTTCAGCAAAGCAATTCTCAGTAAGCTTGCAAGTTGCATGTAATCAAACCGGAAAACTAGGATACTATAAGCAGAAGAGTTCCAGTCTTCTATTGTTCCACTTCAACAGAAAGTTCACATATAATGCAAAGTAGAACCACATAGTTGAGAGAAACCAAAAATTTGAAGATTGAGCAAGTCAATATTCAGTACCTGATAGCACCACTAGCTGCTTTGCGAAAATACGCATGTGAATGAAGCCGATCTTGAAACTTCAACATTTCCACGTAGGCCCGCAGAGTCATTTTTCTTAGGCAGTAGGAGTGAAAATCAAACTGGTCCTCCGTGATATCCGCGTAATGCTTC